TCTAGATACAAGTATCTCGATCCTGTATCTAGATATAAAAATGTGGTATATTTATCTAGATTTTTGATTAAAATATCTGTGCCTAGATATTACTTTAGACGATGTATCTGTATCTAGATCCATTTAAAGGGTATCTTTTAACAACTCTGGTATTTAGGCAATTCGCTTTGTTTTACATTAACTTAAAATTCGTAATTATTTTAAAAAAAAGAAAATAGCCATATTTTTTTAAAGTTTAAGCAACTTGTTTTAAATAAACTAAAATTAAATTGAATAATTTTAGGTCCCAAAGCCCATTTAAAAAATTTTTTTGATAACCCAGGCCCCGCCTAAGCCCGCTAGAAAATATGATATTGGCTCCATGACCCGGCCCATTCTGACCACGGGCCAGCCCGGCCCATGAAGGTCTCTAATTCGTAATTAATAAATTTTACAATATTTGATTCGAATTATTTGCATTTTTTAAAATATTATAAAATAATTTTCATGCAAAAATATATTGATCCGATTTTTTTTTATTGGCCCGTCTAATTTTTAGCGGGAAAAAAAATTATATACTCTGATTATAAAGCGCGCGCATGCGTAAACGTAATCAAAATGCGTATTAATTTAATTTTAAAATGCCAAAGCCAATTTTTTGGGCAAATATGAAAAAAAATATTCTTTATCGGACACGCGATTTTTTGAGGCTATTGTTACGTAAAGCGAGATATCGGTAAGTAATCACGTGATATAAAGATTATTCTAAACCCTATATATATATATTATATACACTATATTTTTTGTTTAATTTAAGCTAATCCTATCCTATATATGTGTTTTGAAGAAATCAAGCAGATGAGGTAAATAATATATATCGACTCAACATCAATTACCCAAATAAATGCTCTGAGTCGACAAGCCATGGAGTCTCAAATTTACTTTAATCCAACTTATACATATTAATTATTGAGTTAAGTAAATGTCTGAAGGAGTGCAGAAGAAATACTAATAGTTGCATAGAAGTAATATCTAATGTAGTTTTTTGCGATCTAAGTTTCCTGAATACAGACTAACAAGGACCACCTTTCCAGCAAATAAATTTTACAATAAAAGGCTTCATCTTCTAGGGAGTGATGGAACAATTTGTTCGGAAATTTAATAGGCTTGTTTAAAAATAGGTGATTTATATAAATTGCATATATTTTTTCTTAGTTATAGAAACATAACACGCGCGACAACCAAACAAGCACCTTCATCATGTATGGTTAAAGGGTCAATTTAGGTTACTGATCCGGGGGTGTAAATTTCTTTTTTAATGAACAAATCTGGGTGAAAAAATGCAAAATAAGATTTATAGAACAATGAGGAAAGCAGGACTTGGGTATCAAGAATCTGAAGCATATATTTGCAATAAATATGTCATTTTGAGATGGAAAAAATTAGTGATCCATATCAACCGTTAAACCTACATCCTATTGGGGATATATATTTAACCTGGAGTCAGCAAATTTGTCATTCGAACCTCTAAAAGGGTCTGAAACTTTGGATGTCACCTCTTTTAAATTAATGATTAACGTTTTTTTTAAATATTCTATTAAGGTTATTTTATTATTTAAAAAATAATCATTAGAATGTGGCACGCATGAAAATAATTTGTTAATAATGTTATCATTAGGGCTGGGAACCAATATTAAAAACCCAATATAAACAAAATATTGTATTGGTATTGGTATTGGGTCTCAAATATTGGTATTGGTTTAAACAATATTTTCTATTTCTTGTATTGGTATTGCTATTGGTATTGGTTTATATTGGTATATATTGGTTTATATTGGTATTGGTTTAAACTCAAATTACTAATTAAAAGAATAGAAATAGTGATTATAAAACTCTTAATTTCTAGTTTTAAATAAACATGGGAAAAAAAATCATGAAGCATTACCATAAAAACAGGGCTAAGAACCAACTCCCAAAATTTTACTAAATCCAAATTCTTTTTTTAAACTAATATATTTTTGAAATCAATAAACCAATCAAATAATAAACGTATATTTTGAAACTTTTTATTTAGCACATAGCAAAATGAATACACTAAAAATGTAACATAATTGTCTATTTATATAAAATATAGTGCAAAAGATTGTAATATAAAGAAAAAAATTTATGTATTTAAGAAGAATCCTTCATGCGCATCCAACTTTTTAAGCCCAGGCAAGCTTGGATAGTATGCTCATCTAGTGAACAACGTTGATCTGTTATAAGATACCTTCCTTCTGAAAAAGCCCTTTCAGAGCTAGATGAAGAAGCTGGAATTGCAAGATAATCTCTGGCAATTTTTGATAATATTGGATATCTATTTTTATTTAATTTCCACCAGTCTAGTGGATTTGTATCATTACAAATTGTGGCTTCATCCACATATTTGCTTATTTCTAAGTTATTATTGTTGTGACTAGGTTTAACCTGATATATTTTTAAAAAGGATAATTTTTTGTTATTTTGTGTTTCATTTGTAGGTTCAGCTGAATTGTAATTATTTGTATAAATATTATATTCATTGGTTAGACATCCAATAAGAGTTTCTATACTATTATGCTTTATTAAGTGACTTGATAGTTTAAACCTTGGGTCAATCATTGTTGAAATAATATATAGGTGTTTATTAAAATTATAGTATTTATTAAGTTTTGTCAAGGCAGCTAATGAAGCTGTCTTTAAAATAGCATTAGGATTATTATTATAACTCTCAACGTGCTCAAAAATACTGGAATATAAAGGAATGATTGTTGAAACTGATAGAGTATTAGCACATGAGGCCATCTCTGTAGCAAAAAATGGTTCTAAAAATTCTCGGTATATTTCAATATTATTCCAAGCTAAGGCACTAATATAATATTCTTCATATAGTATTTTGTTGATGATTGGTATATATTGTGAGATAAGGTTTGAGCAATATAGCCTTTCGAGCATTTGGTACGTTGAATTCCAACGTGTTGGTATATCCAAAATAGGGTGAGGAAATTTTAAATTTGGACTTTTTTCAAGATATATTTTTTCAAGTATATTTTTTCAAAGAAAGTTAAAAAATTTTTAAAAAATTTCTTATTTTTTTTAAAGTTGGATTTAGAGGTTCCAATGCAGCCATGACAGACAAATGGATAATATGGCAAAAACATTTGCACACATTATCAAAATTGTCTTTTAGTTTTAAAATTTTTAAAAATGCTAAATTATTACTAGCATTATCTAATGTAATACAAAAAAAATCAATTTTAAATTTTACTTTTAATACAGAATTAAAAATATTATAAATATTAATAGCATTATGAGCTGATTTAAAAGGAATAAAATCTAATAAATGATTAATTAATTTAAAATCATTATCAATATAATGAATGGTTATGCCCATAAAGGGTATTTTATTTGGAGAGGACCAAATGTCCATTGGTAAAGAAAATTTAGAAGTAATTTTATAAAGTACAGATTTTAAATTGATAAAAGAACTATGGTAATGTTTCATAATTTCTTTTTTAAGTGTTTTTCTAGAAATTAATGTTAATGATGGATTGCTAAAGCTTATTAAATTTTTAAATGACTCATTTTCAACCATTGAAAAGGCTAAATTATTTTGAATAAATTTAAATTATTTAAATTAGCTTTATTATTTACATTATTAATTAAAAATGATTTTATGGTGTTAATTTTTTTACTGCCATTATTTATTTGTTCACATTTCTTATATAAAGTTGGGTGGATGGATTTAAGATGTGTCCATAATCCGGAGGTTCAAAATTAGGAATAGATAATTTTTTTTTACATTTATTACAAATAGCCTTTTTTTTTGTTATCACAACTAGTATAAAATTCCCAGATTTTTGCTGTATTTCGTCTTTTATTAGATATCGTTGATTCTTCTTGTTCATTATCGCTATTATTATTAGTATCAACATCATTATCTATATTTATTAACTCGATTTAGTTTTCATTCATTATAATATCCTAAATGAATAAATAGATAAAATTGATAGATATCATATAGAAAACTTACTTCCATAATATAAATAAACTATAATTATAAATAACATCAATATTGATATCACAGGAATATTTGGAAGAAATAACAGATGTAATATGTTTATGAATGAAAGTAAAAAAATATACCACGATATAATTATCCACGATAAAACCAAATAATTTTATGTATTTATCTATTTTAAATTTTTAATATTGGTATTGGTTAAAATTGTATTTAAACAATATTTCAAAACCAATATATTTAGGTAATTGGTATTGGTTGTAAAAACAATACCAATATTATATTGGTGTTGGTCCCACCCCTAGTTATCATTTATTGGGATTAGATATTATTAAATAAGATAAAGTTGTGGTGGTTAGTGCAAAGGTCGATTCGGCTTTTGAAGTGAATAAATCAGTGCTTAGTGAAAGCAAGAAGGACTTAATAATTCGCTATAAATTTATTCTGTTAATTTGCTTCAATGATTTAATTTTTTTTTTTTTAAATTAAACAAAAACCCAAAATGACTATTTTTGAAATGCAAGCAGGCCAAAGTCATCCGTCCCTCTTCTCGGAGGATACGCTTATGATATGCTACAACTATTATGATTTTAAAGAATTACTATTATATATATTTATATATAATATAAATGATATCTAAACGAAATATAAAATAATATAAAATTTATAATTGCATATTTATTAATTTATCATCCATTTCGCGGGGAAATATTGAAACAAAAAAACATTTTATTAATCTATAAATTTATAAATTTGTTTTGTTTCTCTAAAAATATATAATAAACAGGTAATTGACAATTCTAATCAATAATTCTTTAGCTATTCATAAACATAATAATATTTTTGTAATAAGAAATCATAAAATTCTAATATATATATACTCATAAATTCAGTAAAAAAAAACCAATATTCGCTAATAAATAATATATATTTATATATAGTATAAGAATAGTATTTAAAAACTCGATAAAATTATACTAATTAAAATCACTAAATTTTCTTTTAAAGAGATGGGATCATTATTCAAAAATCTTAAAGATAGAATGATTGTACCATTTATAATGATGAGTAATAGTAAAATATTTCATATTAATAAATAACATTGGCATATATATCGGGTGTTATAAATTATATTGAAGTTGTTAGTTGGCGCAAGAAGGATTTCATAGATAATTAAGTTTGTGACTAAATGACTTGGGCATAGGAAAAGATCTAGGTGTAATAAAATATGGGATTCCTGATTTAGTCGCACCTAGGCTCGGGGGATTCGAAGTAATTGAAGAATAATTGGTAGAAGGCCCTGTCAGCTTTCCCTTCCGGTAAATTTGGTCTTTTGGTGCATTTGTTATTGATGTATTTTACGAAATGAGCTACTCCTTCGTCATTGTAAACCAACGCTAACGAGTTCGGGGTCGGGTTTATAGTTAAGAGCTTTTTTTTATTTTTAAAAATACAATGTAACAGTATTTGTAATTATTAGACGCTAATTCGAGGCTAAATGTTAATGCAGGGGAATGGCTAAATTCTGCTAGGCACTTTAACTGCTCGAGTCCACTTCGAATCAATATTTCTTTATTTTATATATTAATAAATTCCTAGATCTATTTAACAGATCGGGAAAAATATAAAAATAAATATCTAATTAGAGAAGAAAACTGATCTCGTTAAAAAATTTTTTATAAATTCATACCAGCCGTTCGCGTCACGAGAGGTCAGCTTGAAAAGTCTAACTACTTTAAATATCAAAGTCCATAAAATCGTACATTGAAGTCAGTTAGTATTGTTAAACGGCTCGTTTTGAGCCGATTTTTAAAAAAGGCCAACTTAATATTTTAGCCAGAAAAATATTGTCTAAGCCTCGATATCGACAATATATGTTTACTAGACCTTTGTTCCTTCTATGAACAAAATCTTCAGGTTTGCGTAATATTCTGGATAAAATATTGAGTTAGCCGTTTTTAAAAATCGGCTCAAAACGAACCATTTAACAACCCTAAAGTCAGCTACAATTATTTGCCTAGATACCCTTCAATGTGGTGGGTTCAAAGTTATGTCCACTTTCTAATTAAATAAAATCAGTCTACGTTAAGTAATCGTGTGGGAAAGAGTAAAATTCCCAAAAAATAAATAGAATATTCTTGGTTCTTTAACCCTTTAATTGGAAAACATAATTTATTTTTATATTTATAAACAACCAAAGTGCTGTGTAGGTAGATAACAATTTTTGCAAAAAAAAATATTAGAATGTGTTAATCCATCAAATCTAAACAGCACCATAGCATGCAATTCAGCTTACCGGTTCTTCCTCTTTAGGATCCACGTACACAACCTGACCACCGTAATCCGGGATCCAATCTAGAAATAAAATTATTTTTTTAAAAAATTTTTTTATTTCATATTAAAAATGCTTATAAAACAGCTAGGAAAAATTTCTAACACCCATATCTTCATCTTTTCAATATAAGACTTGCAATCTAATTTTTAAATAGTTAAACATTTTAAACACAAATTACCAAAGGGAATAAGGTTTAAAAAAGGAGTCTTGTAGGGGTTACAAATTGAGATACTTTCGTTTCGCGACAAATTTGAAAAAGTATCGAATGTGAATCTAGGAAATCCCCGTTTTTCAAGATATCGAAAATTACAAAATTAATAAAACAGGAGAAATAATTCCCTATAAATATATCCACGAAATAAAAAAAAAATCCTCGTATAAAATATTTAAAAAAATTTTGAGAAAATCAATTCCGGCGAATTATTTTCCGCTTACCTTACCCGTCCACATTAATAAGCGTTTTATATAGCGTCAAAAAACTCAAGACGAGTGGTCCTATGCCATTTTTATTGAAAACACCTACTAATAAACAACGAACCATTTTTATAGAAAAACGCAACAATACCACCCAAATACCACACTTTTAAGCTGATACCGAGTCGGAAAACACCTTGTATTTAAAATAGCAGATCGCAATGTAATAAAGCAAATAAAGGGATTGATTTTAAATTATATTTTTAAGGATGCATTTTTGCGAAAAAAAGAGAGAGAGAAAACATGCTTTTAGTCCATGATTTATTGAGATAAAGCAAAGATTATAATTTCATCAATATTACCCCCCTTTTTTAAATATTCATATCCAAACCCAATATTTCATATAGTGTTGTTAAAAGGCTCAATTTGAGCAGATTTTTAAAAACAGCTGACTCAATATTTTATACAAAAAGTATATTATGCAACCCCAAAAATTTTTCTCATAGATGGCACACAGGATTGAACATCTATTGGCGAAATCTAGACGCTTATAGTGCGTACAAATTGAACGTTTCAACCGCAGCGTTTTAAAACGCGTATCAATGATTTAAAATATAAAACGCAAACGCACTCAATTTAAACGAACGCATTTAAAATGCATTATTCGCGTTTTGTAACGCAGCGTTTGAAATATTCAATTTGTGAGCAACTATTAGGCAATATTGTCCTGGCTATGATGCTGAGTTAGCCGTTTTAAAACCCGGATCAAATCGAACCGTTTTTAAAAACCGGCTCAAATCGAACCGTTTAACGACACTAGTACGATTGACGTTTCTAATTTAAGTTTGATAGGATCGCATTACAGGTTTGGAAGATAATCATATTTTTATAATTTTTTGGGGGGGAAAGTAAATTGAAAAGTAGAGTTTTATATATAAAAAAAACCTTCGCATCCAACGAATAGAGAAAGATTCAGAGATTTCTGCTCAATCTCGTTCGAGGTGTCGTTTAGAAGGGTGTAATCGCCGGGTCGGAATTTCCTAACTTCGATCTGGAAGCGGGATCCGTAATCTTCGATACCTTCGTTCATTCAATTAATACGGATAATCGTTATAATATTATTTGGGTGATCGTTCGCAATTATTTAGTAGATATTGAATTAAGTATGTATTTTAAGCAGAGTTGTTAAACGCTATTTTTAAAAGTAGCGCGCTACCGTAATAGCTATTTGTCAAAAAAAGTAGCGCGCTACCGCTTTCGCTATTTGTCAAAAAAAGTAGCGCGCTATTAGCTACTTTTTTCAAAAGTAGCTTTAGCTACTTTTTATAAAAAAAAATTTAGAAACAAATGAAACAAATTTTTTTATTTTTTTTTTGCTTATAATGTAAATGTATAATAAATAATATATAAAAATCAACATTTATAAATATAAAAATATAGTTAGTTTAGATTATAAAAAAATAAGCAATATAAATAAATATTTATTTTAATTTGTTGCATTTTAATAATAATATCATTTCAATATTATCATCCCCAAGTCTAGAACGACGATCAGAAAGTATAAGCTTTGCTTTACTAAATAATCTCTCGACACTAGCACTTGAGGGCAAGGGGGTATTAAATTTTATATATAAATTTTTAATATATGAAAAATTATCAAAAATGTTCATCTCAATATTTTTTGATAAAAAAAAGATTGGATTTTCTATGAAATCATCTTTAATTTCAAAAAAATTATTTGAGGATGTCTTCGTGGTAGATACTCAGCAATCTATGTTTGTTGGAGTAAGATTATCCAGCTTCGCCATTAGCCTATCTTATTTATAATTTGATATAAATTATGATAATCATAATATTACTAAAATATGTGTGTATTTAGTTAATAAAAATTCTATAAATAATGTTAAATATTAAAATACTAAATATTTTATAGATTAAATAATAACCATTCCATTCTGATAAAAATCATAACTTAAAATAAATATTATAAATAAATTTGTGATATAACCTAAATGCCTTCAGGTAGTTAGACCCATTATCAGTAACCATCTTGCAAACTTTATTATGAATCCTAAAAGACTTGTGGATGTCAATAATTTTATTTGCAAGTACGTCATATGTCTGGCATCCTATAATCCTTTTAAGGGCTAAGGCTACAGATCTTCTTTTTAAAGTCCTAGGGTCTAACCAATGGCCTGTGATTCCCAAATAAGCTCTAAAAATATTTAATCAGATCAATTTATAAATATAAATAAGTTTTTACCTTCTGTTATGTGTCCAACTATCTGCCGTGGTACATACATAAGATATATATGATAACTCTACTATTAAAGCATCTTTCATCACTTTGAAGTTGTCGGCTATTTTATTCATAAGTGTCTGGCGACATAAAACTGCTGTGCCAGGGGATAAAGTTTTGATCATCAGAGTAAATGATGTATTATCAACCAAAGACACTGGCTGAACTGTGTCAATAATAAAATCAACAATAACTTTATCAGCCAATTTTTGTGAAATATTGGCATTTTTATTATCAGTTAATTTGATTTGGATAGTATTTGTCTTTTTGAATGAAGATTCTCCTATACCAAAATTTTTTATATGTTTCTCTATTTCCTTATAGCAATTGGCGTGAAGAGTCTAATAAAATAAATAATATTATAATGTAAAAATAACAATTTACCTTTAGGTGTTTCTTCAGGTTATAGCTACTCGATTGATTTGATGATATATTTTTTTTACATTTTAAGCACATGAATTTGAATCCAGATTTTGTTTTAATATTTATTTTAAAAAATTTTTCAAATTTAGGGAATGGAAAAACGTTATTAGAGCTATTAAGTACATTTTCTTCTTGAATCTTCCATATCTGAATCACTTTCAAGGATTTGGATATCCATGGACGATGCCATTTTAGATTATTAACACAGATTGAAAATATAAATTAAAAATTGAAAATATATTTAAATTTCAAAATTAAATAATAAATTATAAAAATTATAATTAATTATGATATTATATTTAAATTTTCATGTTTATACTTACATTCATTATATTTTTTAAAAGTAGCGCGCTAAAAAATTAAATAATTTAAAAAAAGTAGCGGCTATTAGCTATAGCTACCAAAAAAGATAGCGCGCTACTTAGCGCGCTACTTTAACAACTCTGATTTTAAGCACGGGAAAATGAATTAATCTCTATTCCATTTTGGGATCATTTTTCAGTGAGTCTTTTCGTAGCGCTAAACCTTAAATATTTTGAAGCTTAGAAAATGTAGGAGGGGGCATAAATTCAGATGAGTTTAGCCTAATTATACTAGTGGATGAGGGTGGGAGGGGAGGGGGGGGGTAAATTTCTTTTTCTTGCCTTCACTTCCGGGTTCGGCTTCTTTTTTAACAGATGGAGGAGGGTTATCGTCAACCAAAACACGTTCGTCAGCAATGTCAGTATCCGAAAATTCGGCGTTTACAGGTGTAGCTGATGTTTTTTTATCAGCATCAAATGTCTTTTCCCTTTTCTAAATAAAACATATGTGTAAAAAAAATATTTTAGTTTGTTTTCATTTAATTTATTATAACATACAAGTCATATCGCTTCAAATTATATTCATAAAATAATATATATTTTCATATACATTAGTATCCTTTAGGAATATGTTTTTTTTAATCATTCTATAATAAAAAAATAAATAGTTTATAGTAAATTAAAATAAATAAGCATGATTTTAGGCCAAACCCTGGGGCTTTTAAACTAACTTTTTTTGTAACCCGGGGCATGAAGGGCCGTTTACGAGCCAGAGCTGGAGGGTGCCTCTGTGCCAGTCTATATTAAATGGTGCGCTAAATTAAACTTTATGATATGTATTTAGTAAGATATAGAATTTACCTTGTTTCTCTCAATGCTCTCCGTCCTTTTAGTCGCCCTGGTGGTAGAATTATCGGAGGAGGGAGATCCGTCACCCGTGGTATATTGGGTAGTGTCCATGGAAGATTGTTGTGCTAGAGGGTGCAATTCTAATCCCGTCATGTTTGAAAGGATTAGGAACATAGCCTCGGAACCGAAAAGATTGCAGCATTCCCTGAGGCAGTTGTTACTTTGGGTGGGTGTTTGAGTCTTAAATTTGTTTTAAATTATATAAGCGTGGGTCTTGCGTGCTAACTGGAGCATTCTAGCATTCGAGAGCTCGATTTTAAATTTCAAAATCGCTTATACCAAATGTTGTGATAGATGTTGGAGTGTTGAGAGCTGTCAATCAATCAAGTTGCAATTATATTTTTGCGAATGAATATATAAAGATATATAATATCAATAATAATTGATTGATAGTATGTCAACACACCAATGTCAATCACAACGCCAAACTCTTAATTATCTATATTTTTAATTTATCACATTTCTTTTACTCTTTTTTACAGAGTTTGAAATGCTCTTCAAAATAAATAAATAAATAAATTTAAATGATGATCTTTTTTTTAAAATGATTCTTTTGAGAATTCTATTTTTGATCAAATTTTTTTTCTAAAATTCTTAAAAAATTAAAATATAAGTAAGTCGCCGAGGTGTCTGTTTTAAATTTATTTAAATTTTAGGTTCCACTAATATATATATATATCATAACTAAATCTTTATCTAAAACGTGTTCCACTTTACCCTAGGATACACGTTCCCGGAAATAACGACCATCGGGATTCCTCTCCTTTCCAGGGTTCCGTTGCACTTGAACCAGAAGCAACTAGCTTATGAAGGACCTTCATTTCAACATTGAACGCTCCGGTTAGACTATGGACTTTCTCCAGCATCGTTTTACTTCTTTCAGCATTAAACAATAACTTATTCATCGCCCATTTTAATTAGAGAAAACCAATTTTTAAGGATATTATGTTTCCCACAACGTTAGAATATATCTTGCACTAATGAGATGACAACAAACATCGGATAACTTTGCCATGAACTTAATTGGTTCAAAATTTTGTGAGCAAAAATTGTCAGAAAATTTATAAAATGCTACTAGCTGAAATATTTTTCAGGCAAAATTAGACATTTTCAAAATTTTTTAAAAAAACGCGCTCAAGTATATAATATTCAAGGTTGGAAAAAATTAATGTTGATTTGTAATTGACAATATGAGACGTTTCTTTAATATATTTTCGAGAAGGTATGATACTTACAAAAAAAAAATTGTCTTTGATTGTAAATCAGGTGACATCATTATTATAGTGATGTATTTAGGAAACTTCCTCGGAATCCTTGGAAACCATTATTAAAGATATATGATTAAAGAACCACTCTTTCTCTCTTTCTAGCTTATACTATTTAACTTGACAAACATGGGACAAAATAATTTATAATTTCGATCGCGTAAAAAAAGGAATGTTATAATACATAATTTTAAATGTTAATTATTAAATAATATTAAGAATTTTAAAAAACATTTTTGAGGTTGGAATTGTGTAAAGGTGCTTGAACTTCGTCTTTCCTGGGTTTCTTGGCCAAATTCAGTAAGGATGGCTTTACCACCAAATAATTCCTGGATATAAAATTAGGAAACATATAATAGAGAAACGGAATAGAGGAAGGATCATAAGAATTCAAATTCATTCATTACCTCCTAAATCTGGGCCCCTTGATCTCCCAGCACTCGTCCGCTAAGCCATCGAGGTAACTGAGCAATTGGGAGTACTTATCTTCCGCCAGGAATTGACTCAAATTTATTTCGGAGGTTTCCCCAAAGGTGATCTGAATTTGGGAAATTATGTCTTCGATCAGGTAGTTGGGATTGATCCAATCGTAAAGCGCGTTTTCCTATTTGATCACGAGGGGCAAAAAAAATACATATTTTTTCTCTCCTAGTGTTGTTAAATCACCTAACTTTGACCAATTCCAAAATGATTCTGTCAAGTTTTTATCCTAAAGATTTAGTTTCCAATATCTAAGTTTAGGTTCAACAGAGGTTTCAGCCTAATTCTTAGGCTAAAAGCTTGGCTAAGCTTTATTGGAATTGGCTAAAGTTATGCGACATAACAACAGTACGTTTCCTTACATTCTTTCTGACTTTATTCCTTCCATCCCGGGGTAGTAAGAAATTTTTTTTATGAATTTCAATTTTTTTCGCATAATTAAAAATTAAACGTGTCCAAATATTAGAAATCGAATCGAAATTTAACAAGCGTTTAGCGTTTCTTTCGTAAATTTTTATTATCAAATCCCGTAGTTAACGCTAATTTATTTTAAACTACGATATTAACGATCAGTTGTCCTCTTCAATAATCGATTTTAAAAAAATTATATATGGAAAAAATGCGCGCGCTTTTATTCCGCCTTAGATTTCCTCAAGTCTCGAATTCCAGCCATCCATCTTTTCGGGAATTCATTTATTCTCCCCATTCCCTCCCAAATACACAAGATCCTGAGCCACAAACACCTTTAGCTAGCACCCGTTATTTTCTAACCTCGAAATCGAGTGGCGCTAATAGCTCGAGCGGAAAATAGATCGACGGTAAATGGAGTAATAGCGGTTTTGTTCCGTGAAACCAGCCCGATATTGTTAACCGGTTTTTGCCTTCGGCTTTGAGCTCGGAAACCTAGTTTATTTATTTTATTTTTTTTAATATGAAAAGATAAAACAATAACATTATATCTTTATTTTCTTTAAATAATTCAATTTTTCTTATTAAATCAAACAATATAGATAAGGATTTGGAATAATAAATAGTGGGGGGGGGGGAATACTTTAAGTTACTCGATACCAGAGGTTGCGGGCGTCGCCAATCTGAAGTTGGCGGAACGATTTGAAGAGTTAATTCTGAAAATACGTGCCAATATTTTTAAGATTGTAACCTTAATATTCTTCGATACCATCAGAGCGTATAGGAGTAAGGAAGTCGTAGAGTGGGTCCTATTGCTGATACTCAGTTTGAAGCACAACTAGCTAAATATTGTGACGTATGTCTCAGAATTTATTCCTAGGGTGTAATATATTGTAGGACCCTATGCCCTCTTCTGATAAAAAGTAAATTTGGGTAGTATCAATGACATATAATGACACCTAGACTGACGCTGCATTCATTAAAAGTGTAAATCAACGAAAACAGATGGGGACGCCATTTTGATTACCTATATCATTTATTAAAAAAATTTTTAAACGAGAGGCCATATTTAAGAATCGCCTGATCATCGAGATGATTAAGGAAGCAAACTTATCGATTTAATAGCAATACTTTAACACGAGAATAATTCCTACACGAGTCACCAAAATGGCGGATCCAGCTGATTCGCATTGGACGACGCTTCCAAGCCCATTATTATGAATGCATCGTCAGTTTAGGTATTAGAGTACCTTTACAACATAACCACTCATATTTGAAGGGTTAGGGTTAGGTTTATTTTGATTGGCAAAAAAAACTAGCTCGTAATATTACGAATAAATTAATTCCAGGCGTGAATCCAGAAATGATTATTATTTATTTATCCTTATTATTTTAATTAATTTTTATTTATTTATTTTGAAAAATAAGTGCAAAATAAAATTTTAAGATTATTGATTTAATGGGGAGGGGGGGGGGGAGGAACAAAATAAAATATATTAATTAAATACGAAATATGGATGTAATTTCTGGATTTGTTCTTAAATTTTTTAAAATATATATATATATATATCGGAGATCTGCAGAGATACCATTAGGTCCGGCCCAGATTTATGTTTAAAAAATGTAATTACATTTATTTTTAAATTTTTATAGCTAATAATGGCGATTTACGATATCCGGTTTTAAAACATATGGACCGGTTTGGGCTTAGGGCCGGACCTGCGGGTTACTGATATGTTGCATATATACCGTTTATACGGTCCGGCCCGGCCCGGATTTTTTTTCGAAATATATTATATTTATTTTTGATTTTTAAGACTAATAATGGCGATTTCAAATATTTAGTTTTAAAATATTTTTTAAAAAAAAAATGTTCAGGCCCGGCCAGGGTAAAGAAAGATAGAAGGATAGAAAGAAAGAAAGAAAGAAAGAAAGAAAGAAAGAAGAAGAAAGAAAGAAAGAAAGAAAGAAAGAAAGAAAGAAAGAAAGAAAGAAAGAAAGAAAATACAATATATATATATAAGCCTCTTAGTAAATCTGTTAAAATATAAAATGATGATCCCAAACCTATGAATCAACCATTGTGTCAATAATGGCATAATATTAACCACTAAATTAACCACTAAATTAACCACTAAACCAGTAATCGATTGAGCTATGTTACTTCATATCAAAAAAAAATATTTTTTAAATTTTTAATCTTAGGTTTATCATTAAACTCTATATTTCTTTCTTCCTGTATTAACTCATTGTTTTATTTCGTAGGTTGATTATTATAATGGTCCATGTCCACTTTTTATCAAGTTAATCCTTCCCCCCCCCCCACCTAAATCAGTTCTTAGGTACTATCTTAAATGATAAACGTTCTTATAATACGACATATCGTAGGTTGATTATTGTAATGGTCCACGTTCACTTTTTTGTCAAATTTTTTCGCCCACTAAATCAGTTCTTCAATTCTTCTAATCAACAATAAAAGTGTGAATTTCTACCACTTATATTGGTTGAAAATAGGGGTACTCAAAATTTTCAAACATGCTTATTCCAAACAATTGGAAGAAAAAAAATGGATATGGAACATTATAATTCTCAGCCAACGATATCTCAAATAGCTTGGCTAAGCTACAATAGATAGTCAAGGTTAGGTAACTTAACAGCACTAAATTTTACCTAAAAAGTTCAAATATTTTTTTAAAATTTCAATCGTAAAAAAGGATTCAAGATGAAAGCACAAATATCAAAATAAAATATCTTTCATCACATTTAAAGATTTTTTTTGTAACTCTGATTAAAATTAAAATGACCAAAACAGATATAAATATTAGCATCTGCACATCTCATCTCCGAATATAAATGAAGTAGAAAAAAACTGATTATAATAAAAAATGCAAGGAAATCCAGGGTACTCCTGTAAAGGGTGATATCATGCAATAGGGTATGAAGGGTAGGTTAAAAAGCTCGATTCAAATCGATTGATAAAAAAAAGGTCCAATTAAGATATCAGCCAAAATAATAATATATAAGCCGATTTGGCAAACAGAGGTCCAAACCTTTCTGCCATCTATGAGCAAAATTTCCAGGAATCTTAAGGGGACTGTTTTAAAAAATAGAGCTATAGAGCTAAATAGGGCTTTTTAACAACACTAATGAGGGGTAAGTTTTTATTTTTGGCCTATTCGATTTTGATAGGTGTCATCATCTAAGCTTCGTGAGGAGGGGGTGTAAAAGTATACGAGGATCCATAACTTAAAAGTTCATGTGGGTATACAGGCTATTTCCATTTATAATACTTCTAGTTTTGTATATTATAGAAAACTAGAACTTTTGTACGAGTTCTTAGCTTATAATATAGAATTAACTAATGACTGTGGAAACAGATATCTGCAAAATAAGAATTTTTGCACAAGTTGCATGGCCAATTAAATTTTTTTGCTTGGCTATGCATATTATAATTCTAATTTGCCAAGCCTGGCAAAATTTTATGAAAAGTCGGAACTGCAAAAAGTCCACCTTAGCCCATTAATTTTGTGTGCCTTTTCCTCTATAATATCTATACTTAATTTCCCCTCCCCCCCCCACCCCAAATGTCAATTAAGGCTTTTATATTTCTCCTCCGTGTCTATTTCTTTCTACAACATTTTATAACTCAAATTGTGTTTGATATCTGTATTGTGATATTATAATTAACTTTCTTAATTTTATATGAATTTATCATATTATTTATAGATTTAGTATCTTAATTTGACGGCTCTTAAAATATAAAGATATAAGCATTTAAAAAAAAAAAAATAGTATTAATCAAAATATTAGTTTAAAATTCAAAAAAACTATTAGAATTTTACATAAAAAATAATAAATTTTTGAGGTCCTGTCTGATATTTACCCAGATTTAAATTTTGAGCTTTTTGCCCATTCTGGCTTGTTATTTTCCTTAAATTTGCATGATCTATCCTTAAGGACAGCTTTGCTGATCTCTGATAGATAATAAAAATAACGATTATTTAATAACACTAACTTGATGATAAGATTTATCCGAGACCTCAAATAAAATCATTTGATTCCATATTGGCATAATCTGTGTTATTAGTGTATCTGGTTCATTTTGTTCATTCAATCCAAAAAACCCTAGCAAGCCTCCATATGATTCTTGCCAAGAATCAGGGTTTAAATAGAAGATAAAAGCAAATCTTCTGCCATCTGATTGATCATCATGACATAATAATACATCTGATTTTGAATATATAATAATCTTAATTAGTTGTGATAGGTACAAAATAGGCCTCTTTTAAAAAAGAAAAAAATCAAATTTATTAAATTTTACATTAATATTTTAAAAATTTTAAGTAAAATTTCTACCACTGTAATCATATTTTGCGGCAAACAAATCAATGTTATCATTTAAAGGTATGTCTGTAATATTCTGTATAACATCTTTGAATTCTTTGTAAATTATATTCCTTGTATTATGATATATAACAGTTTCATTTATAATAATATTACTTCAATTTTTCAACATTTGGTAAAGTAATACTTTTTAAATCTTTAGACTATGATGATATTTTTTAAAAACTGTCATATATAAATTATTTACTTGATTAAATCTATATAAATCATTATCCTTATGTTTATAATTGATTTGTTGCAACTCCTCTTGCAAACTCTTTAAATAAGATTGATTGGTTATAAATCTCTTGAAAATAAAATGTGGAAACGGTTTAGGGGAGAAATCCAATTCATTTTCTTAATTAAATATATAAAATATAACATAAAGATTGGCAAAAATATTTTCGGCAAATAATTAAAAAATGTATAATTTTATTCATTTAAATTCAAAATACCAATTACTGCTATTGATTTAGAAGAAAAGGCATTTTTGGCAGAGTCTATAAATATGGAATCTAGATATAATGGGTTTAAAAAGGAGTTAATTTCCATAATGATTCATCAATATGTAATAAATGTAAAAACGTCCGACATGCTCCTATAATGTTAAATGTGATAATGTCAATTGCAGATGTCAAGTCAAATAGACATAACGTAACATGTAAAATATTATGATAAATTCAAAACTAATAAAAAGATATTTAATGCCTCATTTTTGAATCTTCTTATTTTTATATTGTGATTAAACATAAACATTTTTTTTTAAATGACTAATTGAAAGATAAGTTCTATTATTTCAATTTCATTTAATTTTTATTTCTATGAATATTGTTTTTCGAATATTGCAACAAAGATATGAAAAACCTAATAAAATCTATTCAATATATATATGTTGACTGTTAGCTTAGTTATGTCAAGTTCAATGTTTCTTCGTTTTGCGAATATCAAATTTATCGGCAGGGCCGGACTGGCGCCATAAGACCAAGTATGGAACTTTGAACCTTAGGTGCCTTAGGGTCGATATGGACTATCGAAAATACCCTAGCGTATATGCCCAGATAAAAGATTGGGCAATTAGTTATAAAAATTAGAATGTCCATCGAAGATACTCAAGTGTAGTTCTTCCTATCTTTATAATATTTTTGTTTCCATAATGCGTTTTGAGTCCTTTCTTTCGGAGATAGTTCTAAAACATTGTCCTGAGCTGTCTTTCAAGCATAATATTTGGGGGATATACCGTTAGTTTCATTGGAGTATTTCGGTGAGTAATTAAAATATTACTTAAATTTAACTGGTCGGACTACCGTATCCCATTCAAGAAGAGAAACGTGCCTTCTATCGTTCATATATATAACTCAGCTAAATCGATTTGGGGATATAGGGACCGATCTAAAATGTTTTATGCTGTTTTAAAAAGAAATGTTTTGAATTTGGATCCAGTAAACTGAGTACAGTTATCTGAAACAATATAGCGAGGTAAGCAAATGTAACGCAAATATAGCGAAATAATAATCAGATCATCTATTACTCGTCGAATTGATATGTGTTATGCAATTTTAATCCATATGGCGAAGGCTTCTACGCATATTAACCAATACTTTCTAGTTATTTGGTTTGTCAAATCTATATGTTTTAGTTCCCAAGATCGGTGAGCAATGTTTCAATTATATAACGGCACTTTTCTGGCTCCCGATCTTTCTTCTTGACAACTCCTGAGTTATTACGAAATCTTCAACATCAGGATTTGCCCAAAAACATAGTGAATACATAATTATTTTTCCCACTATACCAGGATGTCCTTGATGAATAGCATTCAAAACCTCCTCCTTTAGATTATCAGGGATAATAATCATATCAATATAAAATAATAATCCTTCTTCGAACGAAATATTATCTTTAATTAATTTTTTCACAATCTACGAATAATTATTTATATACCCATGATTTTTAATTAATCTAATAATCTTTTTTCAGATTTATATCATTGCTTTACTACGACAATACTGCAAGTAAAAGATTCATATTCTATAAAATTAATTTTTAATTCTCTGATTACAACTTCGATTTTTTTTGTAACCTCATTGATTTCTTCTCTCTCCACCCCCAAAAGGGACAGAGCATTGACACATCTGTCTTGATTATAAGGTAATTTTTTCACCCGCCAAAAGTGCCGTCGATGTGTAGGCAATTGGTCTCTCCTGGCCAGTAAGAAATCGGTATGCGATAACGCTCCAAGACCATCTTAGCGCCAGAAATCACGACAGGAGTATCGGCTGAATAAGGGATTATTGTATCTTCTTTTGATAATATATTTTGAACTATATTAAATATTATATTTAAATGAGCTGATGAAAACCAGCTAATATTTTTATTCCTTAGTCGGTGTAAAGGCGCATAAATAGAATATAAATTTTGTATATACGACTCATGATGATTTACCATCCCAAGAAATGAACGTAATACAATTCTTTCACATTTTACTGTGTTCTATAATTTTTATGGCAATAATCTTATCTTCTATAGGGTAAATTCATAATTCGTCAATATGAGTGAAATAAGTAATTGACCTTCAAATTGATATTTTATCGGTCGTCGTTATCAGTCCAGTCTTATCAAATCTTCTTAATGCTACTTAGATTAACTTCAACAAAATTATTATCGCCAGCATTTATTACGTCGTATAAGAATACACTGATTATAGGAATTCCCTTTTATAGTTTTTGCATAAAGTGTTGATTGAAATATTATCGGAGCACTAGTCAACCCAATAACCGGCATGAGTTGAAATTACTAAAAGGTCCCACTACATTCCAAACATATTCCGAGTTGTATCATCAAAAGTATTTTACCATCCGCCATCCTATGTCAGGTTGACTAAACCTAAAGGTACATCGTTATCTATTACTAAATATTTGTTGATTGTTATCGATAATGACTTTGTCTAAAGGTCTATCTAACCCAGCTTTATTATTTAAACACAGCAATAATGGAACTCTTATTAAAGAAATCAGCAACGCGTTCGGTTGTATATAGATAACTGCTTGCTGGAGTTTTATTTCTCATAATTTTTTTTAAAATAAGGAAATTTAGATGCAATATTATTTAAAGTAGAAATATTATATTTATATTTATGTTATTTATCCGATCTTCTGCCGGAAGCTTTATATCAGAATCTTAAAAAAAAGGCATTCCAAAAATAAGGGAATTCTCTACTTTAACTACCCAAATTAATAAAAATTTAGAAATGTTTTTTTCTTCGTCCTTCACTAAATTTCCCCAACATTTCTTTTGATATTATTATACCCCACTTGTAAATGCGTAGGCGATATTGATAATTTGCCAATGCTTCTCCAGATAACTTCATCTATTACATTGCACGCAGCAACGGTATTAAATTCCATTGTAAACCGCTAACCATTTATATAGGAAATGACAAAGGTGTTAGTGGTAAATTATCTGTATGGCATGAGTTCTAAAATATTTTGCTATGTGGTTTTCCTTGCCGCATCGAGAGCATATGACATTTTTTTGTATGAAATTTTAAAACTTTATAATTATTATGATTGAATTTGTTGGTATCATAACTCTTATTATTATTAAATTTATTATCGTTATTATAATAATCATTCTTAAAATACGTGTTTTTGGAAAACTCGTAGGCTTATATTTAATGATTTTTTTAAATTCTACCTGTGTTTACTTTTCCAAGGGACAGAAACGCACGATATCTTCAAAAGTGATATTGCCTTTAGTTAACTTTGACCGAAGCACTTTATCCAACTCAACAGCCCTACTTTTAAGATAAAAATATCTCTTACAAGTTCATCAACAAGCGATTTAAATTACCTAATGAGAAAAACTTTTTAATTTGATCGTAATATCTATAATAGTTTATCCGTCTCTTTTTAAGGTATGAAAATTATTTTGATATAGAAAAATACTAGAGATATTCAAAATATTTTCTCCAAACTATTAACCCATTAATGATCAAGATTTTTCTAGTGGATAAAAATTCTTAATTTCAAATTATATTGATTAATGGTCAAATATGATATTCTAAAAAATAGCCGAAAAAAATAATCCTAAATAGAAAATCTAGCCTGGTGCATATCTGTACCGTTAACCATTAAGAGGTTAAAAAAGATAAAAATTGATAAAAAAACAATAAAAATCTTTATTCTTTTTTTGTAATTTATAATAAAAACGAGAAAATGTTTTTTATATATTATGAAAATCCTTGAACATTTAGTATGAAGTGTGATTTGACATGTTTGGCACATATGCGTATGGCAATATCTGCATCTACGTCTTTTTTCATCTTTAATATTGGATAAATAATTTCCAGATGAATCAGTAGGGTTTTCGCTCTGTAATATAAACTGGCTTGCGTGCTCTGTACTTAAATTTTTTCAGTTTTTATTGGGGTTCAAAGGAAGAAGTAAATTCTCACCTAAATGCAAGCAATCTCTTCTTCTCATCCCGATTCATGAATTTCCAAATTTTCCACGATTTACCAAAGCTACATCGATGAAATTAGTGAATATTGGCCACCGCCCTTTTTTCCCTCTTTTTATTCCATAGTAGATGGGATTATCACAAAGATCAACTCCACCCATGTGTTTGTTATAAGCAGTGATCATATTTGGTTGATGAATTTTTATTTTAGAATATTTCCTTGGAATACCTCGTCACCACCGTATTATAATTCCAACGAACTATAAATATTTCGTTTAATTTTTCGAACATATAATCATAATATCCTCTTTCTTTTTTTGTTAAAGCATTTATAGATTAAACTGGGCAATGCTCCATTCTATTATCCATCACAGTTCCAGTTGTAAAATATCCCATTTGTTTTAAGTACGACAAAAGTTTAATTGAGGTATAGAAATTATTAAAATATATCTTATGATTTATAGAATTCTAATAAATCTCTTAATATCTGGAATTGTTATACATTATTAGGCCTATTCGTTTGTTTTGCATAAATATTACTTTGATCTACAATTAGGGAATATAAGTCTTCGCCGAAAATTAAAAAATATATCTGATGGATTTTTACGATGCAAATTGTCTTAAAGTTTTATTATATCTTCATTTTCCCCATTGTAAGGGATTGTAGAATATAACGTGTCTGTTTTCTCCATTTTAAATGGCGAGAAATCACAGAATAGCCATGTAGCAGGGTTCTGGAATGTTGAATTATGAATCTCCAATTCACCAACAGTATTTGAAGGTAAAATTCTGTCATTTGTTAAGTCATTTTAGAAACAATTCATTTAAAAATTTTAATTAAAAATTAAATATTTATTTCATAGAATCTTGATTTTTTAATTAGTCATCTATTATTTTGATATTTTTGATTGAATTGACAAAACAGGTGCATAAGAAAAAAAATATTCAGCTAGGAAGAGGGTACAAATAATTTAAAATCTTTATAAATAATTTTAATTTTCGAATATTTATGAACCGATTATTTGCGAATAATTTCATATAATTAGGTCGAGATGAAAAATTATAAAAGAATCATATTATTCAAGGGGGCTCAAAAATATTTTCAAACAACCTTTTTTTAGTAAAAAATTTTAGGGGG